CAGAAATCATATATTAGGGCCCTCTCTCTCTCTCTCTCTTTTATTTATCCTCCCCACCTCTCCACCCTAGCAATCACATACACACACACACACACACACACACACACACACACACACACACAAGAATGCTTAATCTCTAGTCTTACTCTTTGGGAAATTAGAGAATTCTGAGTGCCAAGACTGTCCCTTATATGTATAATGCCCAAGAAACAGAAAAGGCCTTCTCACAATTGATAGATCCCTAAAATTAGTTTAGCATAAGACAAAATTATTGTCTTTCTCAAGTAGAGATGAGGCTCAATACAAATAATTCCAGAGGTGGCAACACAGGACTTAATTAACTATGTTGTAGGTTGCAAAGTCTACCATTAGAATGCAAATTTGGCTTAAAGAGTTTGGCCAAATATTAACAACAACAAAAACCTGTTTTAACAGGGATACTTCAAATTATCCAGTTATTTTTGGTTACATTAGTACTCTTTGATACTTCCAAGGGAGGATTGGAATAATTTCTGAGGAATTGGAGGCAGGACATTGATTCATGTAAGCATTATTTGTAATGGCTACTGAAAATTTAGAACTATCCTGAATATTAGGCAGGACTTTAATCTGTGAACTGCAGCAGGTTATTTAAATTCATGCAATCCTGAGAAACATTTGAGGTAATTAGTTTAACATATGTGAGGAATATTTCAGAGATAATCTTCAACCTAATTAATATGTTGCAATGCAGAAAATCTGCATTTGAGTTTCTTTTTATGTATGGCCAAACATATCTGGCATAATTGGAAAAGCCTTCATTCAGTTTCATATTTAAAAATGCAAGCCTTAAAAATAACTAAAGGCTTCCATATCTAATTCCTCTTGTCTCCGTAGTGATGAAAAACTCAGTTCCTGGGGTCAGATAAACCTAGGTTGAATTGACTTTGTTGATTATTAGTAGAATTAGTTTGAGGAAGTTATTTAAACTGTCTAAGGCTCAGTTTCCTAATCTTTAAAATGGGAAAAAAATTATCAAAAAGGGTATAGTGAAGTTTGAATCAAATAAATCAGTCAAATTATTAGCATAAAAAAGGATTCAATAAATATTAACTATCATTGTTAACAATACTTCCTATTCTGCTTTTATTTTCTATTTTCACAATACGCTACAAGGACACTCTCACAGATGGCCTCATGGGAATCTCAGTACAGGAAAAAAAGAAAAAAATCTATAAACATGGGGTGGAAGCCAGGAAAATGTGTCAATAGACAAAATACGTACGTTGCAAAAGTAGTCATTTTCTCTTATTGAAAATTAGTCACATTTGGAATTTTCTATGTTATAACTTTTCCACCAAAAGATGAAAATAGTCAATTATGTCAGGAAACTAGCTCTTTGAAACCTGAGACATCAAACTGATGTAATTATACATTAAAATACCTCATTATTCATATGTGTTAATATGAAAATTTTATGCTAATATATTTCTCTTTTCATACATATGCCCTATTTCTATTACTTTGAAAAAGGAAAAAATGTAATATGCTGTTTATATTTTGACATCTTTAGTCTAATTTCAAAACTGGTAGTGGAGCGCTTTAATATTAAATTAGAAATTTTCCTTTCTTGTTTTTATTTTTGGACAAAAGTGGAGTATTTTTAGTGCATCTTATATGAAAAATTTCCTTTGTAGGACATTGATACTTCTAGTTTACAATTTAAAGCACAAAGATAGTTTGAAATAATTTATTTTTTTAATGTCCTATGCTCTTTTGACACAGTTTGGTATAACCTGTCTAAGAAATAGTCACCATGTGGCCTCTCTCATCAAAAGTGCATGCTCTAAAGAAATAATTTATAATGTGAGCCTGAAATAAATCCTTTGGTAGAATTTGTCATATTCTAGAAGGGATAAGCATAAGGAGAACTTTATATTCTTCTATACTGCAACTTAATACCTAAGGTCTTCTATCACCATCGTTATGTTCTGTTTTTCCTTCCTGCCTGTTTACCATTCATCCAAGCATGCCTCGAGGAAAATTCTCATGCAGTTTCATTTTCTATGGGAAGGTACCATAAAACCTTTATCTTCTGCAACTAAATTCTCATTTCAAAAGCTTGAATTATTTCCTCTTCCCTTTCTTTAGTCGTGCTTCTTGAACACTGTCTCTATAAGAGCAGTCAAACCTATCATAAAGCACTTTGTTTATGCCCATCAAAATACACAATCTAGAGGAAGCCATAACCTTGGCAAGTCTGCTTCTTTTTTATTCTGCATTGTGTCTTCAACTGGCTTTTTAAATTTTTTCCCCTAAGAATATACCATCACTTATCTTTTTTATTCTGTTTTTTTGTTTTGTTTTTTTTTTTTTGGTATTATTTAGAACTTGGTTACCAAGCCTTTGCTGTTAGACCAGCAGCATGTAGGTAAAATTTTTCTTACTCTGGAGAGTAAATATGAACATTCATCCTCAGTTTAAGAGCTCCAAGATGACAAATAGCTCAGTAACTTCTGCTTTCTTTTACATAGTTTCTGTCCAGGATTTCATGTTTTATTTGACACTATTTTACCTTCATTTTTCAGTATCTTTGCTCTGTGATAGCTATCTTATTCCATTAACCTCTCTTTGATTCTGCCAATCTGAGAATGTTCTGTTTGTACCATTTGAAATGATGACTTATCATTATCTGATGGTGTAATGATTCTCTTATGTTTATCTTGTCTGTCTCTCCCTGTCTCCACCCACTGCCCCAAATGATTTGCTCATTTTACTCACTAGTTGTTCTAATATAAACAATGATGCCACTACAAGTACTTCTTTACTTGCCTTGATTTTCTCAATATCATTGTCACTACTCTAACTTTCCCTGAAAAAAATAATCAACAGAAAGCAAACTTTTTTTTTGCTGTTCGAATCAATTTAGTAAAAGCAAGACTCTGGTTCTGATAATTTTCTCAATATCTTGCTAATTTCTTAGCTTACCACTTCTATGTGTAACACAGGAATCTATATTTTATGAAAGAAGCAACATTGACTTACTAGTGACTTTGAACAACTGGCTCAATTTCTTTCTGATTTCATGTCTCCCACATGGGATAATACAAGGCTGCTTAAGAAACTCATTGAGATTAATTCAAAGTGGATTCTGTAAAAAAAAAAAAAAAAAAAAGAGTAATTCAGTCACAAATTTAGCTAATTGGTTGCTTTGATTTGAAGAGAAATTTCCAGAAACTGACCAAAGTAAACACTTCACTGAAACCTCTAATTAGATCTATATTATTTTATCATTAATGAACTATTGCTTATACATGTAGACTTATATCCTCCAAGTAGCATTTGCTTTTTCTTAGATTTGATAGGGCATAAATTATCTTATTCATCAATTGAAAAGGGCTTAGATTTTTAATTCAATGTGATTGTTATGTTAAAATACAGAAAAAATTAAGAAAATCTATAAAAATTATTTTGAATTTCTTTGCCTTTAACTATGTAACCACCTCAGTAATAACTTACTGCATATTTATTTTATTGCAATTATAAAATTGGATTTTAATGTATAAACTATGAAGGCAACTAAAAAGCATTTGCAATCTCACCAAATGTCACTGAATATTTATGACAGGAAATTAGAAGACACATTAATTTCCCTCTCTATGCTGATTCTTATTGCGGTAATAATATGAATAATGCTCTTCAACTGGATTCATTTATTAACTCTTAGAATAAAGACTAAAAACAACTGGTTCAATTGGAGCTTTTCACATATGATTAAGCTGAGTATTTGTTTGTTTTAAATTCATTCATTCATTCACCAGTCACTTATTGCAGAGGTCCCCAACCTCTTCGGCACCAGGAACTGATTTCAGGGAAGACAATTTTTTCATGGGGGTGGGACGTGGGTGGAGGTGGAGCTCAGGTGGTGATAGGCGTGATGGGGAGGGGAGTGGCTGTAAATTCAGATGATGCTTCCCTCACTCCCTCTATGCTGCTCACCTCCCACTGTGGGCCACCCCACCCCTACCCCATGGTTCCTAAGTTTCATGGAAGACAATTTTTCATGTATGGGCGTGGGGGAGTGGAGGTGGAGATCTGTGGCCCAGTACCAGACCACGGCCTGGGGGTTGAGGACTGCAGACTTATGGGACTCTGACTATCAACCAAACATTGAGATAGAAAATGAAAAAGAAAGAATATGGATGCTATTCTTACACTTAAAAACACTCATATGCTCTTGGGTATACATAAACATATGCAAAAATTATACTATGATGAATGTTCTTATACCAGTATGATAGAAATAATGTATTTCAAAGGAAAAGTGTTATCTTGGAGAAGTTGGTATTTGTTCTAGATTTTTATTAAATAAGTAGAATTTTGCCAGGCAAAAAATGAGTAATATATGGTCCAAAGTAATAACATAGAAGCCTTAAAGTATATAGCAGGTTTAAGTACTGTTAAGTACTGGCACCCATAAGAATGAAGCATAAGATGCACAGAGTGTTTAAGTAGTGGATAAGAATGAAAAGAAGCTTGAGATAATATTAGTCAAGAAACTGACAATCATGCTCTAAAAATTAGATTTTGTTTTGCTGAAAACAAAACAAAAAAAATCTATAGGATATTGTCCCAATTATCAGAAAAGCACATGGTACACTTGGGATCTGGCTGCTGACAACTTCTTCAGCCTAATCAGCTAGGTTTACCAGGAAGTAATTCCTATTTGGGGCATCTTTCCCTGCTTACGGTTCTCCAACACATCTGTGGCTTTACCTATCTGGATTGTCATGGTTGGAACATATTTTCTTGTCTTCCTCCCACCCTACTTCAATTGGCTAATTCTTCAATTCTTCTTCAATTGGCTAATTCCCTTTCTTCAAATCTTAGCTTACACTTTACCCCCTCCGGGAAAACTTGCCTAATTCTAGTATATTGTTACCTTTTCTTGCTAAGTGCTTTAACAATAGCCATATCTCTATCAAATCTGTGATGGATCATAGTTGTGCTTCTTCTTTCAGACAACAGAAGAGCTGAGGACAAGGACCGTGACTTGTACCAAAGAGTCGCATACCGTGGAGAAACCTCAGGTATCCCCTTAACCAAATTATCGAGGTTAACAGGACCAGTGATGTGGTGTGTGGACATCATGCACCCCCTGATAGCATACACTGAGAGGTAACATCTCTTCCTTCGTGCTGTTGCCAAAAATGCATTATCTAATCTAATCACAGAAAACCATTAGGCAAACCCAACTGAAAGGTATTCTGTAAAATAACTGAACTTTAAAAGTCTCATGGTCATGGGCAAAAAGGGAAGACTGAAGAATTGCCACAGACTGGAGGAGACTAAAAAGACAAAACTATATACAATGTGCATTCCTGGATTAGATCTTGGAACAAAAAAATATACATAGTAGTAGAAAAACTGTTGAAATGCGAGAAAAAGTAGTTAATAGTATTGTAATAATGTCAATTTCTTAGTTATGATAATTGTACTGTGATTATGCAAGATGCCAAAAATAGGAAAAGCCTGTTAATGGTCATACTGGAGCTCTTTGTACTAGTTTTGAAACTCTTGTGCAAGTCTAAAAGTATTTCGAAATAAAAAGGTAAAAGGAGCTCGTGAAATATTTATTAAATGAATAACTGATCAATGCATTCTATTTTGGACTGGAAATCACTATTTCCTCCTCAATATTTCTAAATAGTATTATTGAATGCCTAGTGGCGCTAGTCTATAACTTGCACTAAGTTAGGCACTCAGAAATTTTTTAGTAATGGATGACTAACAACCACAAAACCTGCATTTTCCCATGCTATTACAAAAAAAATTATCCAATGAAATTTATCATAATATGTTCACTATATTAAATCAATATATGCAGTCCATTTGCACACATATTAATTTCCTAGTGAGGTTTTCATGTCCAGATGCCACATGTAGTCTTACTTCTGTAATCTTTAATAATATCAAATTAATAAATGTTGCATAATGCTAGGCAGAAGTGGAGGAGCCATAATATCATACAAAAATCCCATTTCTTACAGAGGGAGCTATATTGCATGGCTTTTGGAGATCAAAGGATAAATCTTCTCATAAATGTCAACCACGAAAATCCTTGACAAACACATTCAGTATAATCAAACCATTGTGTGAGAAGCCAACCAAAGATTCACTTTCAGTCTTCAAGACATTACTTTCTAAAGCAATAATCCAAAATATTTTACACGGACACAGAGTTTTGAAAATGATCCTCAAGAGGGAGGAAGCAAAAACAATATCTTGTAATGTGCAGTAAATCAAAACTTCAGATTCAAAAAACACTTGTAAAACGTCTGTAAACATTGTCAAGTTCAGATTTATTACTGATTCCCTCTTATTCTAGACTACTTGGATATTTCTGCGTTTTGTGACTATAACATGTGTAACACAGCTTGTGGAAGCTAAAGGTCACTCTTTGTGTTGTTTCATTTTCACAGACTCACTGACAAATTCAATATTGTACACAGATTTAAATATTCTATTAGATATGACAGGAAAAAAGGTTAACATAAGCATTTTAGAATTGTAACAAAAAAGGTTGAAATTACCAAAATTCTTTTCCAATATGTCATACATTGTAAAGGCCAATGTCTATGTTAGCTCACTTTTGACTTCTGCTTTTCTTAAGGTTTTATATATTTCTTCTTTGTCAATTTTTTTAACTATACCACTCACTAAAAACCTGGTATTTATCTATCATCTAAAATTTACTCAAATTAAGGTTTTTTCTTTTCAGGGGGAACAGAAATTGAGAGGCAAAGCTTTCCATGTGCACTCCCTGGTTCAATGTATAATGACTACTCTGTAAAAAGAAATGATCTCTAGAAGCAACCTCTCAAAGCAAAAGACTACAGATAGCTTCCTTGAAGGTCAAACCTCTTTTTCATATGAATATTTAATTACTATAACTTTTCTTCCAAGTATTCCTATTTCTTAGGTGTTTCTTTCTTATATCCATTAATTGGTCCACCTTATATCAATTCATGTTGATATTTCATTTAATACTTCCCATGTTTTATTTTTGTAAAGATCTCATTATTTTTTCCTTTAAGCCAAATTTTTCAGGAACAGATAAAGTGTTAGTGCTATGCCTGGCTTTGAAACCACCATTACCAGGCTTCACTTGTTAGTGACTTGTCTTTCTGCTTTATATATAATGCTGAAAATTTATCTTAGAAATAAAATTTGACAAGCTTGTTCCTTGTCTACTCATAACCATTATTAATACTTATAAGTTTTGGAAAAGATTTCATTAGGAATTAAGAAGTTAAAAGGTCTTCAATTAGGATATATTTCTTAAAATATAAGATTTTTATAAAATTCTTAACTAAAAAGCATGTTTGGTGCATTTATTCAAATTAATTATAAAGTGACAATTTAATCTACCAGAAATTAAGGCAAATAATTGACGTATAATTTTAAAATGAGAAATACATAAATGTAATCTGAGGTAATATTTGTATTTTGTAATTATCTGAAAGCAAAGAAATGTATATGGTTATCTATGGCAAGCTTTGATTTTCCATAGTGAGTGAGTTGATAAACATGAAATGCTAACAGAAACAGAATCTGCTCATTCTTAAAGCACAGAAAAAACAAATTGGGCCTGATTAGACAAAGTTCTCTATTGCAGAGAATTGTTTCAATTACAATTTTCTTTTCCTTTCCCCTCAGGCTACCTTTCTGAAAATAAGTACTTTTAGTACCTACTTGATGTGAAGGACACTAAAAGCTGAGAACATTGTAACTGTTTATTATACTAGTACAGGTGCACCAATGTTTCTTTATATCTGAAGAGTATTTTTTTATCTTTTCTAAACTGATAAAAAAAAAAAACTATGAGTGAGAATATTTTAGAAGCTAAAAATTCAAAACAGGACAGGAAATTTAGAACTCCAGTTAATAAATGCATTGCTATTCTCTGAATAAAGCTACTTTTATTTAAGGCAAATCTTGACAAATAGCCAGAGAAAACACATTTATACACTTAATATATTTTGCTTCTCTAAATTAAATAGCATAGGATGTTTAAAGAGTGCTAAAAAGATTTATATTTCCCTTAGTACAAAAGAGATTTGGGGGCAAAAAATTACATGTGTACAAGCATACACACACAACTGAACATAACTTCAAAGTTTGGAAATTTTGACATTTCCGTATCTTCCAATGATTTGTTCTGACTTCCTATCTGAATGAGACAGAAATTCATGCATAACACTCAATGCAAACATCTCTCCCTATTTTCTGTCTCTCTCTATCCCTCCCTCCCTCCTTTCCCTTTGGTGCTATATGCCATAGAAGTTAATCTTCCATATCTGACATCTTACATGCAAAAAGCATACCGACTTTCACAAAGCGTAAGAGAAAAATATCGTCCAGGTCCTTAACTAGGTCATGGAACCTAGTCAGCGAGCTGCTGCAGGTTTTGACAGCTGTTCCTGGCTGCGGCTCTGCTGCATGTGTAGGGGCTACACCTCTCTCTGGATGCCAAGCGGCAGAGCCACAGGGTGCTGATGGCAGTTAGCGTTATGACAGTCAGCCAGCTTGGTACATTTCCCCAACTGGAAGGCTACTGCTTTCAAAAGTTAGCTTTGGGTACCGCTTTCTCTTATGTTTACAAGAAAACCACAGCCAAATGCCTTGCCTGCCCATCTGTGCCATATTAGACATCTGGACAAACTTGGCCCTTGTATGCACATCAACGTGACAGATTGCAGATTTGTTCTGTCAACTTTCACAGACCATTCACTCAAGATATGGTTCTCCAAGAAAAGTGTTCTTACCTGCGTTTCTATGAAGCCCTTTATCTTTGAAAGCATGACTCATGAATTGAATGTATTATAAGTGCTTAATTGGTAGATTTTTAGTAGTATCTGTTCAAAAATCTATTCATCCTGAAAAATTCCCTTGGTTACTCAATTTAGTGATATTTAAGTAACCAATCTTCACTACTACATTAATTGTTTAAACGGTATGTCGTTACACTCATTTTCTACAACTGTTTACAAATTACATAGCATAATTTCAGGTGGAAATGCTTGAGAATGAGACTTTAGCCACGAGGCCATTTTGTGGAAGCTTACTTAGAAACATTTTTAAAAAAGAAAGCACACAAAACTTTACATAAATATTTTCACCTCAGTGTTGTCTTGTCTGCTATGTTCTCTATCCACAACCCTTTTCCTCACTACTCCTCTGCATGCTCCACCAGTGCCATTCTCTCCTCTTTACTGTAATTTCTCTATTAAGGTCAACAATGACTTCCCAGTGGCCAGCGGTCATGTGATCCAGAAGCACTTGACATAGTCGATCACACCCTTTGTTATGAAACAGTTTTTCTCTTAGATTCTAGGACACTTCAAACAGCTGGCTCTTAATCTTGACTTTCCAAACCTGTCTTAGTTTAGTTTCCTGGCTCCTTTTCCTCTGCCTCACACTTAGAGGTTGGCAGTTTCAAGTATTCTTCCTCCATCTTTTTTGCCATCTTATTACATATTCTTGGCTTTGACTTGCCTTTGTTGTAGGGTCTCCCACACTGCATAGTTTGTCTCCAGTCCTTACACATCTTGAACTCAGGTAACAATGAACTATTAGGCCATTAAATGTGAAATATTCTATTTTGAATCAAAAGTTTAGTTTATTATATCTCAACCAAGAATCAGTACAATTAACCAACGTGTTCCTAAAACTATCGACACAGTTTTGCCATCTTAACGGTAACTTGTTTATGTCAGCAGCAAAGAATTCTGGAGAGGGAGTGGTGATGAAATCGCAAAAGGCATTTTCCACAGCTTGTTGAGAATTGAATACTTTTCCTTGCAAGGAGTGGTCCAAAGCCTGGAAGAAGTGGCAGTCAGTTGGCACATGGTCTGGTGAATAAGGGGGATGACAAAGAGTTTCCATGTCCAGCCTCTGTAGTTTGAGCAGTGTTGTTTCTGTGACACATGGTTGAGTATTGTCTTGCAAGAAGATTATCCTGTCTCTATTGACCAATCTCAGCTGCTTTATCACAAGCATGCTCATGATTTTGTCCAACTGGTTGTAA